CTTTCGAGAGAGAGAGAGAGGGTTTTGGGTTTAGGGGTTTGGGGGTTTAGGCTTTAAGGATTAGGGGTTTAGGGTTTACGGTGTTTGGCTTTAGAGTGTAGTAGGGTTTAGGGTTTCAGAGATTAAGGGTTTAGGGTTTTGAGTTGAGGTCGTTCCCGCGTAGCGTAACAAATACGACAGTCGGCACTAGGACTTGAACTGGCCCCTTAGTAAGACCCATTCAAGGATAGTTTCTGTAATGAGGAATGATCCAACTTTTGGGAGTCTAGGGTTGAGGCTATTGTTAATATGGTTTACTGGGGTTTGAGGTTTGAGACTTTTGGGGTTCCAAGGTTGACAGGCTTACCTGAGGATTTGGGATTTGGGGTTTAGTTCCTTTTTCAACCCTAAACACCGAGCGCATGAAACGTCTAAGCTGGGTTTTGCATTTCTCCGTTGATAGCTCAGCCCTAAACCCCTAGACCCTATAAGAAACCCAAAGCTCTCAACCGCTTGTTTTCTTGGTTGGAGGGTCTTAGGATCTCAGCCCGGCTAGAGCTACAGTGGATGCCAAGAATCCTGCATGATCCTAAGTATCTGATACCTTCTGGAATTGTGGTAGTACCGTATTCTACAACTTCTAAAAGTATCAGCTGTACTTGCAGTGAAGTAGTGCTCTGGCACCTGACGTCCGACTGGACAAGCCCCAGACCCTGATGTGAGTGTCGTGGTTTCATGTGAGACTTCACGTAAGAAAACCTAAACCCTGAACCCTAAACCGTAAAAGGCAGTTCCTGCTAGGCAAAACCCAGGAAGGAATTTTGGCATAATGCCAACCTTGAAGGCCTGGCTCTGACACTTTCATTCGCCCTGGAAACCCTCAACCCTAAAGTGGATTGCCGTTCTTTTTTTGTTATAGACATGAAAGCTATTGTTTACTCTCTACCCATGCTACAGTAACGTCATTTACGTTCCTTAACAGCAACCCACTAAACTCAACATCATCCCTGGGCTGCACGCCCTCTTGCCCGAATCCTCACCGTAAAGCGGAGATGTTTCATTTCTTCCCTCACAATTCTCACGCTGCCGCGATTATAGTACTAGAAGGCATTACAAGAACTCTTCATAAGCTATCCGCACCCCATGCCTCTAAGTAATTAGGCCCTGGAATCTCAACATAACCACGCCCTACAAGGCTCGAAGTTGCAGTATGAAACGCCATCACTCTACGAAAGGTCGCAAAAAAACGAATAATGTGGAAACTATTATTAAGCTTCAGAGTTCCGACAACAAAAATGACTATGCTTTTTTTGTGTTTATACGGGGGCTACTGCGGGGATGGGTTACTCCAATGCCACTAGCAATCAGTCACAACAAGCTTCGATCGGGTTGCGTTCGGTGCTTGGGTAAGTCAAGGGGTGGTAGAAGTGTTCCGATTTCGTTGTTTTTTGTTGGGGGCTACCTTTTTTGAGACACCGATGTTCTAAAGAGTTGCAAAGGACGTCCACAGACCTTGTCGCAGTTTACGACTTGGAGTTCAACTTAGGAAATGTGGAGTACTGGGAAGTAGATTGGAGGGCATTCTATAAGGACTTCTACAGGGATCCCTTCGCCCATTCCCTACAAACCGCCATTAAGCTCAGGGTTTAGAGTTTAGAGCAGGTTTTTCTCAGAAGCGCACCGGGCTCTTACACAAATTTGAAAGGACCTTAATCTTATCCTCCCCCAAAAACATTTGCAGGCTCAAGTCAAGCTTAGGCGAATGCAACTTGTGCAGGACATGCGTTGAAACGGAAACACCCTGAACCCACCTCGACTCTGAATTTAACCCCAAAATTCCTACACCCCTAAACCCCTAAACCCTAATCCCTGAACAGTGTTTTTTTCTGGAGATTTTCCCGGATGTTTGTTTTCTGGTCTGGGGTGACTTGATGTTCCCTTCCCTCCCCTTATTGGGGGTTAGGAGGGAAGTACGGCATATAATCCTTATATGAGCTATAGTCAATTATTTAGGGGGTTGTTGTTATGGGGGGTATCGGGGAGGAATACTGGAATGTAGACTATAGCTCATAAAGTCCCCTTATAGTAAACTCCTTTATTCCCTACTAACCCCCAGGAAGCCCCTCTATTCTTTATATGCCAACCAGCAAGCTAAAGTTCATTGAACCTGTCCCTAAGCCCTAAGCCCTAAACCCTAAGCCCTAAACCCTAAACACTAAGCCCTAAGCCATGTGGAAGGCCGCTTGCAGCACCCAGTCTCCGGACGACTCTGTCGGGCGGACGGAAGCGGGTCACCCAACTGCAAGGAAAGGGCTTCGTCATGCTGGCTTACCATACTATACATACATACATACATACATACATACATACATACACACATACATACAGACACACACACACAGATAGTTATGTATAGGGTATCTAGTCCTGATATAGGGTTTGTTTGTCATTCGGGTAAATCGGAATGCATAGGATGTAATTTTCGCGGGTTAGGGTTTGGGGTGTACTTGCTGGTTGGCAGTGGGGAATGACATGGAAAAGGCAATGGAAACTATAATTTGGGGCAGAGGGATTGCTGTAAGACATGATACTTCAAAACAAGGACATGGATCACATCAAACCACTATGAGGGCTGTTGTTGAGAGAACGAAAAAGGACATCCAAACTCCACATTCATTCGGGCATATAGTCCCCCTTAAGTAGATAGAATATAGGGTTTATGGGGATCTTATTATAATATACCCAGAGCCATGTTCGATCTACTTCAGGGGGACTATAGACCACGAACCCTTAACCCTATAGTGAGCCTTTCCTCCATTCCAGCCTCGGAACCTGCAAGTGACTCAGGGTCTTACAGCGGTAGAGATTGCTTTGGGGTATTTTTCAAGCTGCATGTAGTATATGAGCCATAATCTAAACTCCCAAAAGGGGGCTATATAGGGGCTTACATAGGGAACTATGGTAGTGGTTATTATGGGGGATACTAGCAGGGTAGACTATAGCTCATATGAGATTTCCACCATGGCCTTCAGTGAGTTATGGTAGTTATGGGCCACGGGGGCCGAAAGACGTTCAGTATCCAGAGCCTGTCATTGTCGCTCTTATATTATTAATGGGGACAGGCCTCCAAGTGCCCGAGTGTCTGCTAAGGGGCTTAAAGGCTACGCTAGTAATTCCCAGATCACGGCACGCGGTTTAGCAATTGGTGTTTGTGGGAGCGTGGCTTCATTGACCATACACCCTAAACCCTTACCCTTGAACCCTTACCCCCAAACCCTTACCCCTCAACCCTAAACCCCTAAACCCCTAAAACCCTGAACCCTTGAAACCCTAAACCCTAAACCCTTACCTCTAAACCGCGCCTAAGCTGTTTCTTTGAGACGCGAAGCCCCAAATCTGCAAAACATCAAACCTCAGAGCAGTAAACTGGATTGCTGTTAAGGAACTTAAATTAAGCAACCACGATGGGTTTGTATGTATGCATTTATGCATGTGTGTATGTTTGTATGTATGTATGTATGTATGTATGTATGTATGCATGTATGTATGCATGCATGCATGTCTGTATGGACGTATGTATGTATGTATGTATATGTATATGTATATGTATATGTATATGTATATGTATATGTATATGTATATGTATGTTTTTGGGTATGTGTATGTGTACGTGCATGTGTATGTGTATGTGTATATGTAGGTATGTATGTAT